AGCCGGTATCAATCTACTGGAACTCCAATAGCCACTCCAAGGCCCGGCAGACCACGTAAGACAACTAGTATAGATGACAGGAGACTACTTATCACCTCCAAACGAGAGCGCCCAAATTCGTCAAGAATTTGCTGTTTCCCTCTCCATATCAACAATTAAACGACGACTAAGTTAACACGGTATTCACAAGCATATAAAAGCAGATAGACCTTTGCTAGATGTTTATGATGCTAGGCGGAGGCTGGCCTGCTGCCGTAGGCATAGGCATTGGGGGGTCGAGCGGTGGAGAAGGGTGGTGTGGATCGATGAGTGTAGCGTTGAAAAGTACGCAGACCCAGCTGTGCAGTGGGTCTTTAGGACATCGAAGGAAAATGGTTGCGACGATGTGTTAGGGGTAAGAGGTAGAGAAAATGTATGTATAGAGAAGTGTAGTAATTAAGCGTGTTGTTCCAACTAACTAGAGGGGGGAATACCTCGTGTTTATACTAAAGAAAGGTAATACAAAATATGACTAATGTATACTGGAGAAAGAATGAGTCAGAACCCGTGACTCATGATGACAAATGAAAATCCTCCAATACTATGAAATGTGCCAAGCATACTATTTCAAGACTTCTCCTCGTGAACCACAATGAATAGTAGAAGAAAATAAAACATGCTTACCCTTATCCAATCCCTTTGTAAGTAAATCTACCATGTTATCATTTGTAGAAATATATTCCAACTGAAATAACTTATCCTCAAACCGATGTTGAAAAAAATGAAAGTGCATATCAATATACTTAGATATTTTATGAAAGTCAGGATCCTGAACCAAGGACAGAGAACCATTATCACCTCGAAGAATAAAAAGAAAGTTTTGATTTCTGTTCCAATTCGTGTTTCGCATTCCTTAACCATATCAGTTGTCGACTGATGTCCAAGAGAGCAATGTATTCTGCCTCAGTAGTAGAAGTAGCGAAGGAGAGCTGCTTATAAGAATGCTAGGAGATGAGAGCTTCCCCTAGCATAAAGCAGTGGCCGGTAAATGAGCGGTAATCGTGAATATCAGAGGCATAGCTTGCATCACTGAAGCCCATGAATGCAGTGTGTGACATTTTTGCATAGAAGAGTTACGAATCGATGGTGCCCTTGAGATAATGAAGGACGCGATAGATTGCAGCTGGATGAGCTTTAGTAGGACAGGAGGAAAATTGCGAGAGCATGGTAACAGTGTAGGCGAGGTCCAGTCTGGTACCGATTACTGCATACATTAATGAACCGATTATCGATCGATAGATTGCTGGATCGTCGATTTACTCCGTTTATTTTCCCATTTGTAGGTGAACATTACTGTCGATGAGTATTGCCACAGTTCTAAATGTATGGAAACTGTATTTGATAGGTATATAGTTGAGATAAGGTTCCTGTTATAGGATGACGTCAGTCTTAGTTTGGATCAGGTGGATCCCGAGTGCCCAGTTGGCTGTGCCAGTTTCCATCATTTTGAATTCTGCGTGGACTTGGAGGCTGACTCAGTTTTTAGGTTCAATAGACCAGTAGAAAGTAATGATATAGTCCACATAGATAGCGATGATAACTTGCCCTCTTTTGTGGATAAAAATACAAGGGTTGAAATCTGTCTTTTTGAATCTCATTCTGATTAGCATTTTGGAGATACTAGCATTGCATTCCTGGAATAATTGCTTGAGGCTGTAGATGCATATGATCAGTCTGCATACTTTGCCGGAAGTAGGGTTGCCAGTTGGAGATTTCATGTAGATTTCTTCGTGGAGTTTGCAGTATGGGAAAGCACTAGTAACGTCCATCTGATTGCATTGGCCTCGAGCTTGGAGACAGTGAGCAAGAAGTAGTCTAATGGATTTGTATCAGTTAATGAGGGCGTAGATTTGATCGAAATCTTGACCGGGTAGCTGTGAGAAACCTTTTACGATAAGTCGGGATTTGTACCGAATAGGGTTGCCATCAGGACTGAGTTTAATTTTTATACCCATTTGCAGTCGATCAGCTTTCGGTGATCTGATGTGTCAATCAGATTCTAAGTATTCATCAGCAAACCTGCAGCTTTCACTGGACATCTGGAGTGCTCAGGATACTGAGGGTGTTCGGTAGGTATCTCAACTCTTCAGAGATACAGCAAGCACTCCTAGCGAGTTCTGGCATATGGTTGTCCACCCCAGCACAAACTAGTCTGCCCAACACGCCTCTATATACAATCCTAGTGCTCAGCACAACTCAGATATCAGTGCAGTCACCAGAGAATATCAGTTGCTCTCTGGTATATCCTGAATGCTCCTGGAGCACTCCCGACTGCTACAGCGGGCCTTGGGATAGAAGGATTGCCCTAAATCCTCCTGACCTTGTCGGATCGGACGCTTTGAACCCTGGCTCATACCCAACATACTGATTTCTATATGTTGGTACCCCATTCTCTTCAGACATACACCTCTCTACTGTCCCGGCCTCTGGTATTAAAATTCCCCCATGAGATTACCAGAACATCACTCGCACGACGATCTCTACTGCTTATAGAGCAACCACGACTGCAATTTTAGAATTGGTGCATTCAACACCATGATTCTCTACCTAATACTAAAACAATACACTATTTAACACCCTAACTAACCCTAATACAATATACGGAAAAGAACAAATCCACCACTATCTCCCTTAGCTGTAACGAGGGTCTCTTCTAAGAGAAAATAGAATACGATAGAATAGAAACAGCCGTGCAAGATAGACAATCAGGTTGCAGATTATTCAAAGATACTATCGCTAGAACTCAATAATCTTTAAGGGTTCTGCTACCGATAAGAACTTGATTTTTCTTCCTGATGAAGACTGGAGAGAATAGGACTGAAGGGCGGGAATGAGCCTGAGTATTTATACTCCGAAGGCCTCTATACTCTGCTCCTAACTTCCTTACTAAGTTCTGGTAGGGCCTTTCTTTGGTCCGGAAACAATGCCACTGCTACCCCGCTTTTCTCCAAGTGTCAGCAAGTGTTTCCGATACCCGAGGCAATCGCCCTTATTCAAAGCCTTTGTAACACCTGCAGCCTTGTTTGCCACACAACCGGGGCATGCATGAATGAGCTGCCGCTCAGGTGTAAGCTTAATCATTGCTGTAGAGCTTTCGCTTATTGTAGAATTCCCTAGCATAGTCCCTGAACTTCGGCGGACTTACAATGCTCGGAAGATACAGAGGATCACCGGGCAATTAGAGCTTCACTCTGGCAGCCCTTCTAATCACTGGTGAGATATAGACTCATCGGGCATTGCTCCCATAAATAGACCTCCTTCCTAGCGTCCGGAATGTAGTTACTCAAACACCTGGTAGCTAACCACACTGCTGGTACTTGAATATCACCGTGCAACTGGCTTCTAGCAATAACTCTCAGCATGTAACCGGGCTCTGTTTGTACTCATACACCAGCCAGTTGAAATGGCTCCATTACACTACTCCCCTCTTCCAGGATCTTGGTATCCGAGATCTATAACCATTCTATTACCATCCATTGTATGTGAAAAGAAATTCCCTGATATGCAAGGAATGAAAACCCGAAGAAAAAACTACACCCCAACAATCCGCTTGTCCTTGAGTTTCTTGGGATACCTCATGTGGAAATCCCGAAAGGCTTCTTCAGCACTCTTCTTCAGATGCTCCCAAGGTTCCCATGTAGCATCCTCATTCTCATAACCTTTCCACAGCACTAGGTATTCCACTAGTCTCCTTTTTTATTGACCCGTCTATCAGCTACCTCTCGGACAACCCAGTTCTGTTCTCCTTCAATCTCTTCAGGTTCTGGTGGTGGAACTCTTCTCTCAGGATCTACCGGTGCTCGGTAAGGTTCCAGAAGGGAGACATGAAAGACCGGGTGGATTTCCATTTGAGGGGGAAGAGAGAGCTTGTAGGCACGGGTACCAATAGCTTCTAACACCTTAAAGGGTCCCATCTTCTTCTGATCCAGTTTTCCCAAAGGCCGCTTTGTTTGCACATTGCGCCGGTCCAACATTACTTCATCTCCGGGCTTGATTTCAGGCGGTGCCAGAGCATGAGCATCATACCACCGGGCTATCCTTAATCTAGCTTTACCCAGGCTGGCGTTCATAGCCTGCCAGATAGATTCCCATTGAGAAATCGTGACCTCGCTCGCTGGATTGTTCCATTCCACTCCCTCCTTTGGGGCCAGCCAGTTGGTCCTGGGTTCATATCCATAGTTGGCATAAAAAGCCGATACTTTGGTAGACTCAGAGACCGCCGAGTTATATGCATACTCTGCTAAAGGCAAGAGTTCTGCCCAGTCATCCTGTTGATATGAACAATAACTCCGCAAGTAATGTTCCAGGGTCTTGTTAAGTCTTTCTGTTTGGCCGTCCATTTGGGGGTGGAAGCATGTGGACATTTTCAGCTTCACATTGAGGAGACTCATGAGAGATTGCCAAAAGTGAGAGATGAACCTGCTATCTCTGTCCGACACTATGTCATCAGGTAAACCATGGAGTCTCCAAACTTCCTTCAATAACATCTTAGCCAAATCTTCCGTCTTATTGAGTGTAGGAAGAGGGATGTAGTGTGCCATCTTCGAAAAACGGTCCACTATTACCCAAATCTTTGTAAACTCATTAGATTCCGGTAATCCCACAATGAAGTCCATAGAGATGGAAGTCCATGGCCGATAGGGTATCTCCAATGGTTGAAGCATACCAAACTTCTTATAGCTTGACGTTTTATTCCTCTGGCAGCTGTCACAGCTCCGGATATATTCTTAAACTTCCTTATACATGTTGGGCCAAAAGAAGTTGTTTTTTACCCACTCTAGTGTCTTGAATTGGCCAAAATGAACAGCCACTTTAGAATTATTGGTATTGGCCAGCATTTCTATCTGAGGGTTATTGTCTTTGGGTATATACCATCTATTTTGTAGAAGATGAGATCGTCCTTAACCGACAATGTTCTGGTCCAAATCTGGTTTTCCTTCAACCAGGGAGCGGTGCAGTTCCTACCAGATACTATCATCTTTAGCAGCTACATATAGGTGCTCTAATAATGTATTCTGCAATTGATTCATCCTGACAGCCGCTAGCTTTGCAGGATCCAAAACCAATTGACCTTGCCTAAAAAAGATCTGTGGCTCCAGCTGCGGAGTTTCACCTCCCTCTCCAAGGCGGTGATCCCAGCGCCTAGATAGCACATCAGTCTTACCATTCTTTTCTCTCGGTCTGTAGACAACTTTAAAATTGTAGCCTGCGAGGTCTTCAGACCATCTAGCTTGCTTTCATGGATCGACTAGTGGATATACGGGGTTACGAAGAGTCAGATTAGTCAGAAAGGTTCCATTGGGTACTACCGGGTTCTGTTGGTTGTTAATGTATGAGTCCTGTTGGATTTGTCATCGCTGGGATTTCCTTGAGTATATTAAGGGGGGTTGTTTGTACTTTTCGTTCTTTTTCTTCTTCTTCTTTCTTTACGCAACGTCTTCTGTATCTACGCTGTTTATTGCTATACAATATTATCGTCCTCTTCTATATTCAAGAAGACCACCGCCTCGCTTCCTCCTCGTCCCGTTGACCCTTACCAACGCTAGAAACCCTTAGGACCCCTAGTGCGAGTTCCCATACCGTCCCCTATTATACTCTTTGTACCCAGCGGAATACTCCCTACTCGCTCCCTTGAGACTTGCCGCCTATTGAGAACCTTGGTAGAATTAAAATACTCCAACTTCTTGTCGTCTATAAAAACCGCGATCTCCTGCTCACAACATTTGAGCATGTGTTCCCATTTCTGGAAAAAGGCTACAATAGCTCCCATTTCCTTATCATGAATGTCATAGTTGATCTCAGCAGAGGTTAACTTCTTAGAATAGAATGCCACCAGATGTAGCTTTCCATCGTCCGCATACTGAGAGAGCACTGCTCCCTTGACAAAATCACTGGCATCTGTCTCGACCACAGTTCTCCTACTAGGGTAAAAATGAAGACGGATTGGAGCGCTTGTGAACAGCCTCTTGAGTTCTTCAAAGGCCAACTCATGTACAGCCGTCCAATACCATTTATTGTCTTTTTGCAAGAAGTCAGTTTATGGCTTGCAAACCTTACTGAAGCCTTCAATGAAGCGGCGATAGAAGTTTGCAAATCCGAGGAATGCCTGTACTGCCTTGATGTTTTCAGGGACCGGTAATTCCTTAACTGCCCCCACTTTGTCTTCTGACAGAGATAATCCCTTTTCTGAAATGTGATAGCCTAGATACTCTACTTCTCGGAGATGGAAGGATGTTTTACTGATCGAGGCACAGAGCTTACCTTCCCTAAGCTTCTGTAGTACCTTCTTGACCGGTAGCTCATGTTCCTTCTCATTTTCCGAGTAGATGAGGATATCGTCAATATAGACAAACACTCCTTCATTCAGTAGTTCCTTTAGCACATCATTGATCATTGACTGGAAGGCAGAGGGAGCATTGCATAGACCAAAAGGCATCACATTATACTGATACAGTCCATAGCGAGTTCTGAAAGCGGTTTTCCACTCATCACCTTCAGCTATCCTGATCAAATTGAAGCCGTTCTTCAGGTCTATCTCTGTGAAGATCTTGGCCTTAAACAACCTGTCTCTGAGCTCACTCATGACAGGCAGCGGGTACTTGTTTTTGACAGTGACCTTGCTCAATCCTCTATAGTCCAAACAAATCTGTAATGTCCCATCCTTCGTAGGAATGAACAGTATGGGGGCCGCAGCGGGGCTATTAGATCTAGAAATCTTTTCTGAAGACAATTCTTTGTCCACGTACTCCCGGAGGGCCTTTAACTCTGGAGCGGAACATGGGTATAGTTGACCAAATGGTGGAGGGGTACCAGGCAGGAGTTTGATCTTCAGATCATTATGAGAATGCGGCGGCATTTCCCCAATCTTCTCTTGACTGAACACATCAGCCCATTCCCGGTATATGTGGTGTATTTTCTCAGCAATATCACCTCCTTCCTCATCATGCTATACTGAAGCAACCAATTAATAGACTGTCTCTTCTTCTTCCAGCATCTGATATGGAGAGATCAGTTCAATCTTGGTGGCCGCTGGGAGACAATTCTGCTTGCAGTAGTCACTCCTCCAGCTCATGGTGTTAAGTTCCCAATTGATGTCCGGGTTATGCTTCCTAGCCCAACTAATTGGCAGGTAACCGGTCATTCCTTCTTCCAATGTAGACACCTCTCATCGAAGTATCTCCTTATGATCTCCGATAGTTATGCGGACTGGGTAAGTGTACTACTCGCCTCCTCCTATCATGATATCCCCTTAAGCATCAAACATTGTCAGAGGTCGATCCCGCCGCACTAATTGAATTCCATGTTTTCTCACAAAACTCTGGTTGAGGATAGCTCCTGTACAACCGGTGTCAAACAAGAAAGACCCTTGAGTGCATTCATCCTTTCCTTTGAGCGTCCATGATAGTCCTGCCTTCAGTATAGGTCTTTTTCCATATAATGGTAAGGAGGGAAGCCTCTGTTCCAACCTTCTTTGCTTAACAACGGGTTCTGAACTTGTTTTTCTTTGTCCTTTTAAAATAGCTAATAACTTCGGGCACTACTAAGATCAGAAGATCCTTTGGTTCTATTCTCAAGCAGTAATACAGCAGATGTATCGTGTAATAGTTTTGGTAGCGATTTGGAAGTGTCTTCGTAGCAAATATAACTTTGGTAGAGCACTGACAGACTAGCTGTTTCGGGTCTTAAACCCATCATTAGAGTGCTTGGAGCAATCAAATAGGCAGAAACACAATCATATTTTTATTTATTCAAGAGAAACATAGAAATCCAAAACCCACATAAAAGAAAACTAGTAAATATAGACTCAAACAGACACTTTTCTACCAGAGGATTTCATTGTCCGAGTCTTGCTCAGGCTGGAAAACAAAATCTTCTGTAACTTCCGGGAGTACAACAAGTGGATCCTCTGCTACAACAGCAGCTACTTTAGCCTTCTTCTGAGAGTTGGATTTACCATTCCCTCTTTCCGCTTTTGTACTCTCACTGCTGCCAATCGGACAACAGTAGGTTCCTTATACCAATAATCGGTCCATTTATGCCTATACTTGCCGCACTATTACACAAGTCAGTCTATGTACTCTACCCATAGGGAGTACCGAAAGGTCATACCTTCAAGCATAGTTCTGCTTTCCTTCTTTCTTCTAGAATATCCTCCGGGATACTCTTCAGTTCCACTGCTCTGTCCTCAGGTCCGGGGGCATTCTGAGGTACAGAGAAGCTTGCAGCTTCTCTCTTCCTCTTGGTCTGCCGGTTCTTCTCAGCAGGAGGATCTTTCTTGGTCCGAGGGGGTGCTTTCTCAGCTGCCAACCCTTGGTACCTCTCATGAGTATGACCTAACTCTCTTAGAGCAGCTATCCTCTCCATTAAGGACTTTGGCTTGGGATTGAAAATGGCCCAACTCATGCCTAGGTCCGGAAGAAAGGAATTGTTGATTTTATCATCCACCAACTGACCCTCATAGCCAGTCATCCACATCAGCTGGATGATAGTATTCAGGAAGAGGTCTATTCCTCCTCGAGCCGTATGGATAAGGGTATTCCAAGGGGCTACGGCATCATTTCTGGAGATGGCTTCGCCGAAGGCTGCTCTAAAAGCATCCACAAAGGAATCCTAATGCTTTCATCTCCAGTCCAACATCACCGGCATTCCAGCAAAATGGTTGGTGGAGGTTTGATCAATCGAATTATGGTATGCCTCATACCATCGGATCGCTTCCTCTCCTTCCATCAAGTTGCCTACATATCGAATCTTAACCTCCTCAGAGGTGAATGATAGGCTCTCAATGGAGAACACATTCTCACATTGCCAAATAAAGGTCTCCACTTGCTCCGCCTTGCCTTGGAGATTTGAGGGGGGCAGTGCCTTTGGTTCTTGTGCCCTGGAGAAGCAGAAGGGGGAGAGGCGGCTGAAGGTCGGTACTGTTGGGACATCATAGCCAACAAATCCTTTTGTTGCTTATCCAAGTTCTTCTTAAAATATCTGCACCAGCCTCCTCTGTCAACACCCTCTGGTTCCGAGCCTGAACTGTCAGAACCATCTGGATCTCCAGAAGTGGAAGCGTGGGCCGCGGGAGGTGGAAGGTTCTGGTTTCCACCACTTCCACCCTGTGCATTAGCTGGAGAGGGAGCAGCGCCCACAGCAGGAGGTACCACAGGTGCTACTGGTGCTAGGTTGCTGGCCAATAGTGAGGTTGCTGCTTGAGTGGCCCCAGACATAGTGAACCTTCCCGGGTTGTTGGCTAGTGGACTAGGAGGTCCTGAACCTGCACCTGATAAGAGCTCTCCTTCATAGTCAAAGGATCGGTCCGATCCTCCAAGGAGTGAGTGTACTTCAATGAAATGGCTGGGAGGTAAGGGAGATGCTCCCACCACTATCTGCACAATAGGGATAGCTCTCCTAGTGAATCGGTCCGGAAATGGTGCGAAGAGGCTGGTTTTTCGCTGCATCATTCTGGCAGCTGCCTTGGAGGAGGACCTGGAGTGTGGATTTGGTGCCGGAGTTCCTGGTCTACCCACCACCACCCTTCCTTCATCAAGGACTCGCTGTATTTCGGCAACAAAGTCTGGTGGAGTGGCCAGGCTTGTCCACTCAATCTCCATGGCATCAATATCCAGTTCATCTCTTTCCGCATACCTCGGGAGTTCTTCCTGGACAGAGTTGACCTCCAGCTTCATGTATTCCAGAGCTTCTGCCATAAGTGCATTCTGTGCTGCCTGGCGCTCTTGTACAAGAAGGAATGCCTGAGTGCCCCAGGTCAACTGATTCTGCAGGCTGTTTTGAAGGTAGGTCTGGAGCTCTGTGAAGAACTGTTGGAGGGAAACCTCGTCGGTATCTTGCCACGCAGACTCACTGCCAGGAATATAGGTCTGTAGAGTGGTCCTGGACTTATTGACAAGCTGTGTCTGCCCAGTGGCATCAAGCTGGAGGGGCACCGGCTGCCATTCAATCTGAAGAGGTGCATCCGGAGCCGGGGGGGTGGACATTTTTGTGTAGAGGAAGAATAATCTGAAGGTGACTTGAGCCTTAAAGATTATCTGTAACGGGGGTCTCTTCTAAGAGAAAATAGAATAAGATAGAATAGAGACGGCCGTGCAAGATAGACAATCAGGTTCCAGATTATTCAAAGATACTATCGCTAGAACTCAATAATCTTTAAGGGTTCTGCTACCCATAAGAACTTGGTTTTTCTTTCTGATGAAGACTGGAGAGTATAGGACTGAAGCGCGAGAATGACCCTGAGTACTTATACTACAAAGGCCTCTATTCTCTGCTTCTAAGTTCCTTACTAAGTTCTGGTGGGGCCTTTCTTCGGCCTGGAAACAATACCACTGCTACCCCCCTTTTTTCTAAGCGTCAGCAGGTGTTTCTGATGCCCAAGGCAAACACTCTTAGTCAAAGCCTTTGTAATACCTGCAGCCTTGGTTGCCATACAACCGGGGGTCTGCGTGAATGAGCTGCCGCTCATATATAAGCTTAATCACTGGCGAGATATAGACTCGTTAGTCATTGCTTCTATAAATAGATCCCCTTCCTAGCGCCCGGAATGTAGTTACTCTAACAGCTGGTAGCGACTTCTATTCTTCTTTCCTCCCCCTCCTCTTTGGTGTTAATGCCACAAAGTTGGCCATTAATTACTTCGTTCTGGACGCTGTCGGAACCAACCCACCCTCTTGAAACATTCGTGCATTTTCTACAAGCATCTCGGAATGCGGCAAGATTTGCAGTCAGAATTTCATCGTCCTCGCTAAAACCCTCCTCCAGTATAACTTCAATAGTTACCCTCTTTTTATCTCGATCCATTAGGGTTAGCATTTAGAATACCACTCACATTACAGGTATCTGGAAGTATCATACCATTTCTTGAAGGTTATCTTCAATTACCTCCAAGGATACCTTCTGGTTGTATTTACTTCTCCCCTTCCAAGTATTGCTCCCCCTGTTGAACGTTTCTACTCGAGTTTCGATGTCAGCTCAGCAAGCCCATATCGCTCTAGGGGCATCCGCCATTACTCCCAAGACATTCGCCATATCAATGAGGCTATCGAGCTATACTAACTCATAACACTCTCATTCTGTAACTGAAAATTATCAGGCTTCAAGTAACCCCCTATCGACTACGCTTGAATGATGTGCCAAATCGCCGTCGTTATCAGGCAAATAAGTGTAGGGGTTATCCGCTCTAGAAATTCGGAATCCCTAACCCCTCGCATTCTTACCCCATCAAAGTATTTAAAATACAATACATCGATAATTTTCGGAGCTAGAAAGCGCAGTCGGTAGGTATAGAATCTGTCAATGGTTATCCTGAGTGCTCTTTGAGTATCCATCAAACCTAGTAATGCTCTTGGGGGCTCAAGAAATGATCATTCTTCAAATGGTATTCCACTTAAGCTGCCCTTGCCTCAGGCCCGACAAGATTTTTAAGTCCACATGTCCTAGAGTTCATCAGGCACTTTTTCACCATGTATATCAAGTGGGAATAGATATGAGAGTGCAGACTTCTGACATATCGTTCTCAATTTACTGCCAGAGAACTCGTAATGCCTTTGGGGGCACTCAACTGTTTAATAATGGTGTTAAGAATCTTATGTCAGGGTAGCAAAAGACTATGGAACGGATTTATTGATTCGAATTTTTGAAACTCACCACCAAGATTTTCATTGCGACCACGTTACACGAAGCCAAAAGTCTTTAATACTTAAGCTTCAACCACCTACACAATGCCAAGCCCCACCCAGGACATGCTAAATGTCATGGATAGACTCCGCCTCGCTGAACTAGATGAGGATGTCATCTGCATCTCCAACTCCAGCGTCCTCGCTACCCAGGCTGCTGAGCTGCTCGCCCACGAAAGCACCTCCCACCTCGAGAGACTCCTATTAACCATCACCATCGGCATCGTCAACCAAAATGCGATCCTTATCCGCCGGTTGGAAGAGCTCACAGAAGAGCATGAGAAAACTGCCTCCCAACTCACCACCAACGGCAACAAAGTGGACAGGGCTCACGACCGCATCAGCACTCTTCCTAGAGCCGCCCCACCCCCACCGAGACGGCAAGTAACCACCCCCCCCAGAAACTTCCCCGCCGCACAACAGGCCCAGCGACCACCCAACCACAACCCCGCCCCCAGCAACAACCTACCAACCCCCCCCAGTCTGCTGCCAGGTCAAACAGAACCATCCCCCAGCTGCAGACCCGCTCTTATATCCAGGCTGCCCAAGACACCCTCTACCAATGGCAGCAAGTCCCCCAGAGAAGCACCCCCGCCAAGAAGCCCAACGCAAAAGAACCAGGGCGAAAAACCCTTCCCGCCGTCCAACGCCGCTTTTTCGCGACCAGACAAAAACCTGAACCCATCGAATCCCCGGAGACACTGGCCGCTGAACTATCAGTTACATTCGGAAAGTTCATGGCCTCCCAAAACCAAGTCGCCCCGGTCACCGCACTCACCGTCACCATTAACCAGAGAGGAGCCGTCACCATCCTCTCAGCCCCCACCGTCCCCTCATCAGTCTACGCCACATTCTTCGAAGCAATGACCGCAATCCTAAATAACAGGGTCAACACTGAACACAACCCCTTCAATAATTTCAGACCCGCCCCTACAGATGTGGACATTGCCATCCACGGAATCCCCCTATTCGACCGCAAGACAAAAGAGGCCCTAAATGCCAAGTTCCCCGAGATCTTCCTCCTCGCCTCCGGCATCGCCCCGATCGCAACTCGCTTCCTTCACCCCAACGACACCGAACGTAACAGTAGGAAAACATCAACCGTCGTAATCACAGTCTCAGCAACGGACACCGCCCTAATCGGCCCCTCAATCCGCATAATCTCCAGACCCCGCAAATGCACAGTCATGTGGTCCGCCTCCCCCATCACATAATGCAAGAAGTGCTACAAATTCGGACACCCTGAACAAGGCTGTAAACAAGAACACCACACTTGCCCCATCTGCGCAAAGAACCAAACCAAACAGGAACACACCTGCCCCGTCAACTGCAATGGCCGCCGCTACGATAACATCGGATGCTGCACGGCAGTACGCGCTAAATGCGTAAACTGCGATGGCGCCCACGCCTCAACCTCCAACAACTGCCCAGCTCTCACAGCCCTTATTGAGAACAATAGGCTCAAGAGACCAGCTGCACCAACCACCCCAGCCCCCGCCACCAACCAGTCAGCCACTGAATCACCCGAAGTACCCATGCCGGATGCCAACACAGCTGCCCCAACCACCCAAACCGCTTAGTTAATGAGCACCATACCCAAAGAAAACCCTTACCTACGCATCATACAACACAACTGCAATAACAGCAATAATGTTCTCATCTCCCTCTTCGCCATCCCTATGATGCAAACAGCACATGCGGTCACCATTCAGGAAACCCCACTATTCAAAGGGAAACCTTTCGCGGTTCCCGCTTTCACAGCAATATACCCCACCCCCACCTCCATCGACGACAAAATCTCTGTCTGCACCTATCTAAACAACAACTTCCTACAGAAAAACTCATTCGCAAGCCCCCCCTCCCATAGAGGAGACATTATATCCACCAACTTGTTCTGCCACACCGGGCCCAACACCCACACCACAATAACACTCAGAAACTGCTATAACAGACAGCTTAGAGATGGGTCTCGGTCAATCCACCCCCTCATGATTCTACCCACCTCCGACAACCCAGCAATCACTGTCGGGGACCTAAACATTCATAACCCCACAACCGACCCCTCTAGAAACTTCTCGGCCAGAGAACTCAGGCTCTCCGAACGATATATGGATACCGCCAGCCGAGCAGGCTACTCCATCCTCAACACCCCCGGAACCTATACGAGAATCTCCCTCAACCAAGCACATAGAAACGGAGTCATCGACATAGCTTTCTCCAACCACAGAGCTACGCCGCTTGTCAGGAAGTGGCTCCTCCTCTCCAACTCCTTGGGCTCCGACCATAGGATCATAGCCATCTCACTGGCCCTCTCAAACACAGACTTCGCCCCCTTCACCACCCCAAACTGGGCGCTAACCAACTGGAACCTACTCTTACCCGCTCTCCAAGACACCCACATCTCCGCCTGCGATACTCCCGCCATGCTGGATGACTGGTTCGATAAATTACTTACCCTCATCACGGACATGGTTAAGCAACACACGCCCCCAAAAACCATCTCAAAAGGGTCAAAGAAATGGTGGACTCCGGACCTTTCCCAGCTCCGAACCATCTTTCACTCAGTACATAGAGCGTTTAGAAAAGGCAGAGTCCCCCCCCCAGAGATGACGGCAAAGCGCAACGCCTATTTCAATGCCATAAAGAAAGCAAAACAAGACTACTGGAATGCCTTCATCGTCAACCCCGATACAAGGGACTTGTGGAGACTGAAGAAAATGGCCAACAGGACAGAAGACAAGATTCCCACCCTTCCAAACTCACCCACCCCAACCCTTCTCAACAACAACCTCATCAATGCATTCTTCCCCCCCCGACTAGAGGACCCCTCCCCCTCCCCCATCCAATTCTCAAACACCCCCCCCATAACCCCCAATGAAGTTCAAACCGCACTGGGCCCCACCTCCAACCTTTCAGCACCCGGCCCGGACACCATCCCATACTCAGTATGGAAGGGTATCCACAGAGCCAACCCCCGCATAATACCCGCCCTCCTCAACCCGCTCATCCAACATGGATATCACCCACTCTCCCTGAAAACCGCCAATGGAGTAATCCTTGCAAAACCAAATAAACCGGACTACTCCTGCCCCGCTGCATACCGCATAATCGTCCTCCTCCAGACCTTCTCCAAGATCCTGGAAAAAATAATAACACTCCGCCTGGCCGTGATAGCGAAGGCGGTAGGACTCCTCCACAACCACCAATGTGGGTCAGTCAGTGGCTTATCTACTGGAGACGCAGTTACCACACTCATACACGAGACCAGAGTCATGAAACTGGCCAAACTCAAAGTCTCCACCCTCTTTCTAGACATCAAAGGGGGCTTTGACCACGTCCTAAAACAACACCTAGCCTCCACCCTCTCAGAAAAACACACCCCCCCCTACATCACGAACTGGGTCCTCTTCTTCCTATCCGACCGCTACATCACATTGTTGTTTAAAGGGTCCTCCAAAATCCCCACAGCCATCCAAGTAGGAGTCCCACAATGATCCCCAATATCACCACTTCTCTTCCTCATCTACATCAACTTCCTTCACCAACACGACCCCGCCCCCGGCATCTCACTCTCCTATGTAGACGACCTGGCCATCACAGTGGCCTCTCCATCATACAGGGAAAATATCGACACACTCCAGACCCACTATAACAACCTCACAGCTCTGGCCACCCCCAAGAACGTCACATTCTCGGTGGGGAAGACGGAGTTAATCCACTGGAGAACCCTACGCGATAAGTCCCCCACCTCACACCTCCCAATACTCCTGGACGGCCAAGCCTTCCAACCCAGCCCTATAGTACGATGGGTCGGATATTGGCTCTCCCCCAACTTTAACCCTAACGCCCAATTCATCAGAAGAACGGCCACCGCAAGAGCAGCCTTCGGCATTCTCAACCACTTCTCCTCAGCAGGAAAGGGCCTATCACCCGCAAACTGCAGGAAAGTAGCCCTCCTCGCCATCTGCCCCATGCTTACCTAGGGAGCCAATGTATTCACCCCAACATCAGCGCTCCGAGAAATGAACACCTTCTGGAATGCTGTCCTCAGATGGACAACAGGCTGCTTCAGAGCCACCAATAACCGCGTCCTATGGGCAGAAGCAAAAGCCCCCCCCCTAATACTATACCTCCACTTCCGGAAGTGCAAATTCGCCATCAGGATCCTCCAAGCCTCTCCGTTAGCAAACCCAGTAACGGGAAGGACAGACCCTCACTTCCCCACCAGCCTACGAGACCGAACCTTCTCACACACTGCCCTCCTCAGGGGCCAACCCAACTCGCCAAAGAAATGGAACTCCAAAGTGAAGAAAGGTGTAGCACACACACCTATTGAACACCTCTGCTCCCTGCTCCTCCCCCTGATCGAGGAAGGCGTGGATCAGAGCAAGATAGCTCATAGAGCCAAGCAACAACTGCTGGATAACTGGCACACCCATTTCCCAACCCCGACCTACTTCACACACAGATTAGATACATCCCCCCTACCCTTCACACACCTTCACAAATTGATCGCCACAAGAATCCACCAAATAAGATCAGGGAAAAGCTATCTATGAGCACAGCAATCCTGGATCAACCTACAAACCTCGCCCAAATGCCGGAAATGTGGTCTCGAGGACGAGACCCCCGACCATGCCATACTACAATGCACCGCCACTGCACTCACCCGCTCCCAAACCTTAGATGGAGTTACATCCCTTGAGGAAATCTGGGATAATTACACCCTCACCCTCCTACTAGGAGCCTATATCACCAAAACCAGAACAGGCTACCCGGTCAGCCGGGGACCGTCACCACTCGAATCAGGCTCAGGAACCTCATCCCCCCTCAGCTCAGTCTCCTCCTCCTCTACGTCATCAACACCAATCATGGGTCCAATACCTATAATCTACGCGTCCTAGCAAAGTCTCACTGAGAGCACAAGGCCAATGGCCAGAAGGATTTCACAGGAAAAGGCATCTAGCCCTCCCTCTAAATTGTTCATTGTTATTTATATGCATTTATCTTTCTTTTGTTATATTTTTATTTTGGAATTTTGATTTTTGCTTTATATTAGGGGACGAGTTATGTGTTTGTCAGGGGATAGGTTTCTTTACGCCATAGTTTATACTTTACGCGATCATTGTGTACCTAGAAACAGAAATTGAAATAATTTAAAAAAAAAAAAACTATGGAACGGATTCATTATGTGAAAGAAAGTGAGTCATCATGAGTCTCCAGAAGTTTCAGTAGTATTAGTAATCGGTTGTCATTTCCTTGTTATATGAGAGTCTCTTACCCCTCCTTGTCTATCTTTTCTTTCTTCTCTATACAACATTCTGTATTATACGTTGGGCTATTATTTTGGTGGATTTACTCCGCTTCAATATACACTCCATCTAAAAGCCACGTTACGTTTGCTGCTCCTAAATGACTCCCTTTATTGTCATCGCTGTCCTCTTGGTACTCTCGACCATCACTGCCCTGCTTGTGGCTATTTTTACCCTCTCTGTCTTCCCCTCAGTCGTATAGAACCTCATTGCCTTCGCTGTCATCCTCGTCCTCGCATGAGCCACCCCTCGCACTCTTATGTATGCTGCTGTCCTCGCCCTATGACGAACTACCTTGATGTCCCTCAACCCCTAAGCCTACGCCCTGCCCATGGTTTCTTACAAACGACCTCATCAAGGTCTACTCTATACCCAACTCGGCGATTTGCAGTTGCCCAAATGCTAACTACCAGTACCAAAAGTCATGCTGCAGGTAGAAAGAGCTCATGTAAAAGAGTCTGCTCCCCAATTAACACGCTACACTCGTTCTCAATCCTCTGAAGCTGTACTGACAGCACATTTGCACTCCTCGAGTTAGGGACGATGGACTTCTGAGTCAATTGGTTTGAAGGAATGTTGGCAGTATTCTCAAAGACATCGTGAGTATCCTCCGGAATACTAACTTCGTTTCCCGGAATCAAAATAGGGACGCTTTCTGACTTTAGAGCACTCTAGTCCTCCTCGCTAGATGAAGGAAGTTACTCGATTTCGTAGAATCTTTGCGATCGACCTTGACCGCGAAGTTGGCTTGGAGAAATCTGACCATTGCTCACAGACTGCTCGCCAATTACCTCACTGGGCGGTGAAGAACAATGTGTCCGATAAGTGGGGAACGACTACCCGTATCGAGAGCGCATCGAGGAAAAATCGATATAGCACGTAGAAGAGGTATACTCATGAGGATAAATAGGTGCAGAGGGCCTAGACTGTAAGGGTGTTGGGGGTACTCTCTGAGATGCTGGCAGTGCTACCTGAGATGAATTCTGGCTAGATGCCAAAGTGGATGCTGCTCTCCCTTGTTTACGTATTACTTTTATGCTGCGTCGAGTTCCCTTCTGAATCGTTAGCCACTAATACTTACATATTAAAAAGCATCCATGAGTGCAATACAGTCGAACCTGTACCACATCAACCAATACATCGGAAGGAGCAATGACCTCCGCTACTGCACCAGTTGGTTTCCTCCGAGCATTGCCCAGTGTTCTGGCAGTAGATGGTTGAACTGTATGACGACTCTTTCTGACACTCTGAGTCCTCTGGATGGAGAATGGGGGGGAGACTTGAGGTTCATTCTTCGGTTCATCCACATCCTCCTCAGAGCTCTCATGGTCATTCTCCAGAGCATCATCATAGTCTCAATAGCTAGTATCAACTAAATCTTCCACCTCAGGTGCCTCAATCATCTCAGGCTCCTTCTACGCTACACAATTGTCACTATGATTCTCCCTGATATGAAATTCTACCCTCTGAGGACTGCTTCCCCTATTGGAGGTTTTGGAAGAATGGAGAAGAGCTTTCCAAGTTATTTGAGGGGTGGTGGTCAATTAACTACTTCGAGCATGGGCTGTCGGTGGAGTCAATGGTCGATAGGATATCTCAGACTCACCAGTCTCTCCAGCTTCTTCAGATCGTATTGGGAGCCGTCGGTACTTTAGTGCAGGAGTTGCTGTAACGGAGAAGCACTTGGGGGTAGCCATTCTAATGACTGGAAGAAATATCCGTAGTGCTCTAGAAGTACTAGCGATATCTTCAATTACAAATCAATTCTTGGTGAGAAAATTTCCACCGCTAATCTTCATATGTCAGGGATCATTCGGTATTACCGTTATTTCCGAACTCAACCGTATCATTCATTATCACTCATTTTACTGCACTTTCTGAAGCGGTATTGAGTGCTTTGAGATCAATCTGAGAGTTTGATTTGACTTTGAAATAAGAGCAATGCAATTAGTATGGTGCGCCCAATCATAAAGGTACTCAAAAGATTGGGGCGAGGTCGAGGTAGAATAACTTTTCAACAAAATAAGTTATGAAAAATTTGGTTGGTACAATTGAAGTACTAGAGATGAAGAAGAATTTTAAAATCCAGATTTATGATATCTCTCCTGGTTACAAAGTTATTCAAGCTTGAAATTCGGTATTTTAGTATGTAAAATGCGCCAAGCAATTATAAAGTGGAACAGGCTTGGCAGTAGGGTAACTGCAACCTCACCACACCTCAACTACACCTTTACGCACCCAAAGTTGGTAGGCAACAATACAATCAGTTTTGAAGAGTTAAATTCATAATTTTGGGAGGTTATCCAGCCCTGCAGAATACTCGCTACTCGCCCCCTTGAGAATTGATTATCATGACCAATATCCCAATAATAAATCAGATCTGGAATCCAAATTGTATTTTATAATGGAAGTGGCGGATGAAGATGGAAATAGGTATGAGGTAGTGACAACGATTTACAAGGGTGCTGGGGAGTATCTCTACCGCTCGGGGGAGTATGATTAATGCTCACAAAACCTTCTCCTCTACCCATCGTACCCATTCAACTCAGCATAAAAGTTTGGAATGGTAAGTTATTTCATACTATCGAAGGCCTTTTAAGGAAATATCGACGGTTTCTTTCTATACGCTCCTTCAAGTAGTGGCGAATGCTCCTACAGGACTGTCTGAGATTTTATAAAGAAATTGGAGGAAATGAATGTTATATTGGAAAAGACGAGCTGGTATCATTCGGAGATGGTTATTGGGGAGCGAAAATCCCTTACTATTACCAGATCTAATCGTAATTGTACGATATCATCAAGGCCAAAAAGCCTTTCGGGAGTGATTGGTGTACGCGACAGTGGTAGAGCATAATGAATTTGGCGAGAGAATATACGGGGAGATAATTACGGGAGATTGATAATGGGGAACGCAGCTCCGGTAAGCATCACAAGTGCTTTATGAGCACTCGCTAATGTTTCCTGGACCGAATACCTTACAGGATGCGTCAACTGTGGTACCAATTATATGCGTCTCAGATGGCACACATTTGACAGATTTTAGTGGGTACAAGAAAGCCTGGCTAATCCATCGTACCATCGGGAACATCAAGTAATTGATCCAGAGCAAGCCCACCAGACATCCGTCAATTCTCCTATGGCTACTGCCAGTCCCACCTAAGCTCAATAATAACTCACTCGCTAATTCTGCTTTACGAAGTCAGAGTCAAATGGCGCTGCATCGCGTCCTTATAGAGATCTTTCAGAGTATTCAGGAGTTCTCTAAGGAAGGAGAACTAATCATATTCCCCGAGGGTACTGTAACGGCAGCTATGTATTTCGACTAGGTGATAAACTGGAACGAGGAAAAGAGGTATTGTGCAGTGGAATTAGGATTTGTAATAGGGATTTCTGTTATGTTCTTTTAGTTTCTGTTACGCGAAGGTATTAGTCATCATTGAACTATGGTTGGATATATAAGAAGGTGTTGTCTTGTGTTTTTATCTGTTTTCTCTCTTTCCTTCTTTCTTTACGCTACCTCTTTATTCTACCCGCTCGCCTCTGGCTCGCGGTAGGATTTCTTCCCCCCGAGATGGAGTTATACTGATTCTCGAATTGCTTCGGTCCCTGAACTTCCCTCGCTCGACACCCCCCATTCTTTGTTCGTTTGGTGCCCTCATGGGATGCGTCCACCGTTCACCCCTCGCCAAACCAGCGGCTACTTTCGAAAGCCGCCCTCGCCCCTCCTTATTTTCACTCATCGCACGAGTGATCCCACACGTTGGGTACGCACACTGTCAGTAATCTCCAGTCAGCGAGAACCTACTGCCAAAGCGCTCGACAGCCCGCGAAGTTAGCGACCTCTCGGTCGCGAAACTATCGTCAAATTTTTTACCCGAGGTCCCGTGACCTTACCCCTCTTTATCGGCCTTAACCAGGCCACCCACTTTTACCCGAGGCGGCCCGCTCCCCTCACCCCAACCTAAACCGGTCTCCGAGACCACCCTCAACACAATACGGTCGGCACTTTCGATTGCGACCCCCATACATACTGAGCCGTCGGCTCAACCCATTTTGCATGTCCCCTCCAGAGGACTCTACTTCAAACACGACTCGGGCACAGTCTTTAGCCGTTGCTCCAGGGACCGACGACCCCACCCACTTCTTACTTGACCTACCGGTCACCACTCCTCAACTCCTCGCTGCCTGACAACCAGACGCCCGAGGACCCACTCTTACACCACCCCCCTCGCTTCCACCCTGACGCTGTTGCGGTTGGCTTCTCCTGCCTTCGTGCGGGTGGTTTCCCAGTCCTGTTAAGGTTCGTCCACAGATATGACACCGGCAACGTTGGTAATGATATCGTTTCGATTGAACACTACGTTTAGGATTGTGCTCGCTTATGTAGTTGACGGAGAAGTTTGGGGTTCATTTTTACTACGGGGAGGTTTCTTTGTTGTCGCTTAGATTCTGCTTACCTGTACCACTTGTTATTTGCGCCCTCTTCGTGCGTTGTTTACTTTTATTTATGTACGTAGTTCTCGTAGCTGCGGTAGTTAGTTTTTGTACTTTGTTTTTGTTTTCGGGTTAGTCGGTGGAGGTTGTAGTCGGGTAGTTAGGTGTGCGATAAGCTTCGGCTTCTAAGCAATATAAGTTTCTTCTTCTTCTTCTTCTTCTGTATTCTACTTGCTCGCTAAGGCTCGCAAAGAACTCCCTGATAACAAACCTCGCTTTAAAAACACTTTATTTTACTTTCCTCGGTTTACCCTGGTATACCATACCAGGCTGAGCCACTTCGCCCCCGATCGTACGGTCGCGTTTTGTTGTTCCAAGCGAAAGAAACACCAAGAAAACTGGCTTCTAGCGAAGAATTCTCCAGCCTTGACCTCCCAAAGGGAAGGAAAAGAAACCTTTCCGAAACATCACTCAACGCCGCCAGAAGAACTGGACATTCAATTATGTCGCAACAAGCTTCGCTCCAGTCCTTTTTCACCCAATCTTCCCAGCAAGGGACAGCCCCTCCGCAGAATAGGAATACTCCGGCTCCCGATCCAACCCCGTCCGGAGCTCAGGAACAAGAATTCTCCTCGACCTTTGCATCACAATCCGACTACAACGACCCATACCAACCGAGAATTGACTACCTCTACCCAAGCATCGTTCCCCAGGACACTCACACCCAGACGGACCTGAACTACATTACCTGGGCCATTAGACATGCCACAAGCCGAATCTGCCCACCCACCGACAGGATGGAAATCCTCGAAGAGCAAACGACCATACTCCGGAGAACAGTGGATACACTGAAATATCAGATCGAGGCGCAGACAAACATGATCACCAATATGCATTCGGCGATCCACGCGCTCCTCAACAAACAACCACAACCGCAACAACCGCAGCAACTGCAACAACAGCAACAACAGCAACAACAGCGAAAACCACAGCAACCGCAAGGACAGAGAATGCCCCGTCCAGCGGTCCCACAAACAGCTCCCCAAGCAGCGCCACAGGCAGCTCCTCAGGCCCCCCCACCCACACCCCCCCAACAAGCCCCATCTCGTGGATGGAAGGCAGGTACCTGGGCCGCCGTGGCCTCGGCACCCGGTCCTGCCCAAGGTAACTTCCAGGTCATCGAGAGGAAAAAGAAGTCCGCAAAGCCAAAAGCGGATCCCCTCTTCAAACCAGAATACACCAAGATCAACAGGGAGATCATCGTGGAAACTACTGCCCCATCCGACGTTAACCCCTCCGAGATCAGAACCCTCGTCAATGCAAGAATCCAAGACGAGTCCTGCCATTTCATTTCGGCAAGAAGAACACCCAAAGACAACTTCATCCTGGAAACAAAATTCGTTACCCCTGCAACAAAGGCAATGGAATATGCCAAAGAAATTGAGGAGGCCCTCCTCACCCTACAGGTACCGGTCGCTGTCATCCGCGCAAACTCCAAATGGTCAAAGTTTCTCCTCCATGGAATCCCCACAACGGTCGGGGAGGGCATTGAGGCGGGACAACTAGTAGCATCAGAAATCAGAAGCAACTATGGAGAGAACTTCCAACTTGCCCAGGTTCCCCGCTGGATATCCAGGGCAGAAACTCGAATGGAGAAAACCCACTCATCAATGGTCATCGCGCTCCCAGGACAAATCACAATGGAAACACTAGGAGTTAAATTCCTATCTCTCTTCAACCGAAGCTGCCATATCGAGGCCTTCCTCCCAACCTTCCCGGATACCCAGTGTCCGAAGTGCCTCGAATACGGCCACCACCAGGAGAAATGTAAGAACAATGGAAAATGCGGCCACTGCGCTGGAGATCACCTCACCAGTTTCCACCCATGCAATCAATGCCAGGGAGGATATAGATGCACCCACACCCCAATCAGATGTCTGAACTGTAAAGGAATCCATAAGGCCTCCGACCCAGCATGCCCTGAAAGAGTTAAACGCCGATTCCTTAACAAAGGAAAGGAAAACGCCCCATCCGCCCAAGACCCACCTGCCGCACCCGCCCAGGAGCCAATCTCAATAATCCAAGTACCAGCCACCGCCCCGGTCGGAGCCACACCCGTTCCCGAAGACGACCAACCCATGACGAATAATGCCTAGGCTGCGATCAACCGCGCTCGCACACCAACTTAATTGTGCAGGGAGCGAACTAATCACCAAGGCGGCGGTGGAAGAAGCAGAAACAGACTCGAGCATTTATTTCCTAC